TAAAATTTTTGAATTGTGACTTTAAATTTTTTGAATTGTGACCAAATTGTATAGATCTGTGACCTTTATATATTTATTAATTAAATATATAATTAATTAATTAAATTATAAATAAATTTTAATGAAAACCTGATTTTTGAAATTTAAAACCTCAAACCTTAATTTTGAAATGGTGATACTTAAATACCTTATTTATGTATTGTTCCCTTTTATGAAAATCAAAACTTTTATTAACTTTTCAATCGTACATTTCATCATATTTTATCAGAATTTACTAAAAAATAATTTTAATTTAAATCAAACATGAGTTTGTACCTTCTTTTTTCCCTAAACTTCAAATATACTGGTAAATTAATCCAGAAAGTAGTTATACGATTTCTTTCACTTTTACTTTTGATAATAGTGTTGCCCCGTGCATTGCACGTAATGTTAGTGAAGCCCAAGTTGTATCAATGTTTATTTTCAAACCGTTGATAATGTTTTGTAGGTCCTGTGGTGTCCTTGAAATTCCAATATCGAAATGCTAGAATTTTTATGAAACTTTGAATTTTAAGAACGTGAAAACCTAATTACTCAATTGACAAGATCCTACATATCAAATTACCAAGAGAATTATTAAATACGGAATATACCTTAATTCATTGAGAATAATTATCTAATACCAGATATTGATTCTAGATCTTGAATTTAGAATATTGACTTTTTTTATTCTCGGGTTTTTTATCTTAATTTTGATTTATTGCTCCATAATCTTGATCATCTTGTTATTTAATTTGATTCTTGATTATGGATTGCATGTTTTTTATTGTGGGTTTTGGATCTTCGTCTTCAATATGTTTTCTCTTGTATTCTTATATTGATGGGATGACACAAAGAATGAGAATCACACATGAATTGTGGACCATAATTCTTATATATAATTTTCATATGTATTTGAGTCAATACAATCCTAACTGATCTGGTCTCTACACATATAATTCGATCCACACTTTATTTAGATACTCAAAGTCCAATCACTTAATTCTTTACTAAATCACTTTAATTTTGAGCTTAACTTTAAGATAGTCTTTATACACAATTAATTACATATGTCCGCTCATGTGGCAAATTTAATATTTTCCCCCGAAAGGCTGGTGGACTAATTTGCGAAGATAAATTTAGGAGTGAAAAAAATAAGAATTACATTCTATAAAGTGGAAATTACACCTAACCCTATGTTTCAAGATCCAACTTCCAAAATCATATCCAAGTTTTATTAATTCAAAAATCAGATATTTATTAAGTAATATATTATTATTAGATAAATATATTATTAATTAAATTAATTTATAAATCAACCCTAC